CATCCTTCCCTCAGTGACTACTAAGGATTGCGATAGTCACCCTACAAGTATTGTATCCATATACAGCGGTTTAGTATCCATACTTTTTTGAGTATCGATCATTTTGACAACCCTTATATTAACTTGTATTTTTTGTATCTTTACAGAATGTCTATTAGGGAGGTCCTGTATGAGAAGGTCCATGGACCATTTTACAGCCCCCCCCTCACTAAAAATACCAGGGAGCAGACCCGCGTCCTCTCATGGGACTTTGGGGAAACAACAGCCACCCCAAAAAGTGTGAAAACACACTGTTTGAGGAATTTTCCTCAAAGGTTAAAACTGACTCCTCTTATCTTATGAGGGGTTACTCCCTCAAGGGCCAGTCGCCCCCCTATTCTATATGGGTCACCAGGGACACCCGGTTCCTGAGGACTTCCCCTGTGATGGGGCCTCTAGACCTGGCTGGGGAGGCACTGTCGGCCCTCTGTCCACCATCCAGCCTGACCAGGACTGGGCAGCTCAGAGGGAAAAGGGGACTGGTGACGGTCGAGGGCCAGGTCGTTGAGGTAAGTTCATTTAAATGTCCATATTTCTATTTATGAAGACATTTTTAAACTAGATGCAAGACGATTAAGTACATATCAGAGAAAACCTTCCCAAATCAGCTATAATATCAGGAATCGGCTTTCAAGACACAGCTGAGCTTCTACCTGGTATATTTCAGGAACAGAAAGAGGTCTTTTGCCATGTTGTCCTTAACTTTTTTTCTTTTTAGATGTCTGCTGTCAGAAAAATGTTGGTTGGGAGGGAGCAGGTCGCCAAAAGGACAGTGCGCCTTCACGAGGTAAAGAGAGCTACTGGGATTGATTTCTTACCAGTACTGGGTCACATGTCTAAGCAGAACTGTTTGTGTGAACAGGGGAACGACCAAACAGAGGGGGCGCTGTGGAGGGAGGCAGCCGTCCACAAGGTGGACCTCCAAAGCTAGGAAGAGGGATGCCTCTAGCTTGTACTGGAGGACGACGTCCGATACGAGGTCCTCGGCGTCCCTCTGGGAGCCTCATGAAGAGGAACTCCTCCAGAGGAGGCTGTTTGTCTCTGAAACGGCTGTCAGGGGGGCATCACCACCTTAAAAGTGGTGGAGGCCCCCCAGGATTGTGAGTGTTTTTTGTTTAATACATTTTATCAACCTTTCTCCTTGATTTTAGTTGATATTAAATGTTAACTGTTTGTAGTTTTATCCCTTTCACACTTCACTTAAAAAAATTCTGCCGTTTTTTAAATTGGCAGTTTTTAATTATTGAAATTTTTTCTTACAAAACAAAAGATAAGATTTTGTATCTTTGGGTGTTTTTTATTTCTACACATACACAAAAGCACAGTAATAACACATGTGATGATGATATTTGCCTTCATTTAAATATTCCTCAGTTATTAAATTGACGTTCAATTTCAAGCGTCTTTTTTCATTAAATGTTAAGTGTTTATAGTTTTATCCCTTTCACACAAAGCAGAACATTAAGTAGCACACATTAATAGTTGGCCTTTTATCAGTAAAGTATTATGAACAAAGTAGTCCAGTAAATGTTAAAGATTTTATGTATCTTTAAATCTATCAGAAGTTCTGTCTGAAGATAAATCCCTGTGCATTCATTAGTTCCTAAACTGACTGCAGCAGTCTGCCTGTCCTTAAACCACTAACTGCACAGGTTGAGTTCCAGCCTTTTGAAGTGGTTTTCTGGATGTAAATCACCTGCTAGTTTGACTGCATGTTTACTTATTGCTAATGGAACAACAAGTGCACTATAAAGCCCAATGAGCAACACACAGGATTTATTTCCTCCCAAAATGTGTGAATATTCCCCAAAAATTCTTTCTTTGACATCTGATTCATAATTTTCATGATAAAATAGAAAAACAAGTTTTAATACAAATAAATAACGTGTTAGTTTAGTTATATTGTCATTTTAACATTAAATATTTTTTAGGTGTCATGTTATGAAAGGATAATTCCTTAATTGAGAAAAATAACACTGATATTTGTATTTCATTTTCACATTGGTTTAATCATTTTGCTATTGAGTAAATAGTTGAGTAATAATTTTGTCAAACCTTGTGTGGTGTTTTTTTTTTTTTTTTACTTAGGAGCAGTTATTTTAATTTTGGTTTTAAAATCTTTTTAGATTATAGCAGTTAATTGAAAGTCCATTGGTAAATTAAATACAGCGCATGTGTGTAATGATAAAAAGAAAAGATTCAAAACAAACATTAAAACTGAGTCAATCAGGGCTAAGCATAGCTGCTAAATATATTAGAAGAACCCAGAGGCCCTGCCCTCATCTCTACGGTTACTGAGGAGATCACTACAGCTAAATGAAGGTGTTCTAGCTTCGGGGAAAGGTGGGATTCAGGCCTATAATCTGGTGAATCACATCTGAAAATCTGAGTCTCCTGGTCTGAACAGCCTGGTTAACATTTGGATTAAATAAATGTGTTTGGGCTTCATGGAAAGCCTCAACTCAGCATGACTGAGAATGAAGACACAAGACATGTCATGAGAAAACAACACATTTCTAACATTTCCCTCCTGTTTATTGAATGACATGCAAAAGAAATAGGTATTATTAGTATTTATTTCGTATCAGGTGAAGTCATGTAGAAGTAGAACAATCAGATTGTAATACCTAAACTCAGTCGGTCCAACACTTTTTCAGATGTGGTTCAGGTAAACATTTCCCTAACTTCCACCAGTGCCTGTGCTAAACCTGAAAGACTCCTGGCATACTCCCCAGCAGTGGTGGGCCGTCAGGGCC